AGCTAGACTTCGTGGTACTGATCACAACTTTTTGAGCTTGGCAGTTCAGCCAGTTTCAGTCCAACTCACAGTCTATTTATCTAGCCCATATTCATCACTTTGTCTATCAGGATATTATGGGAAACAGTGTTGGAATCTTTTCTTAAGTAGAGAAACAATGTCCACTGCTCTCCCTCACTCATCAAGCCAGTCATCCAGTTGTAGAAGGCTGTCACGTTGGTCAAGCATCATTTCCTTTCATAAGTCCATGCAGACAGCACTCTTCTTCTCCTTCATGTGTTTGGAAATGGTTTTCAGGATTATTTGCTCTGTCACCTTCCCAGGGATCGAGATGAGGCTGACTGACCTGTAGCTCTCAGGATTCTCCTTCTCACCTTTCTCAAAGACGGGGCAACATCTGCTTTCTTCCAGTCCTCAGAAACCTCCCCCGATCACCATGACCTTTCAGAGATAATCAAGAGTGGCCTCGTAATGACATTAGCCAGCTACTGGGGGCATCACATCAGAGCCCATGGGCTTGTGTCTGTCCAGTTTGTTTAAATATTCCCTAACCTGGTCCACTTCCATGGAGGGTAAGTCTTCCTTGCTCCAGGCTTTCTCCCTCATGTCACGTGCTTGGAACTCCAAAAAGCAAATCCCACCAAAGAAAGATGGAGGAGAAGGCAGCATTCGGTACCTCAGCCTTTTCCATGTCCCTTGTCACCAAGTCCCCTGCCCCATTCAGCATGACACTCACATTTTCCCCCATCTTGCCTTGGCAGCTGACATACCTGTAGAAGTCCTTCTTGTTGCCCTTTACAGCCCTCACCAGATTCAACCCCAGGTGGGCTTCAGCTTTCCTAACTGTGTCACTGCATGTTTGGTCAGTGCCCCTATATTTCTGCTGGGGTCATCGGACCCTGCTGCCACCTGTTGCATGTGTCCTTTTTTATGTTTGAGTTTAGTCAGGAGCTCATTGTTCATCTATGCAAGCTAACTGCCACCTTCACTTGATTTTCTGCTTGTCTGGATAGACAACTATTGAGGGTGGAGGAGATGGTCTTACAGAATCAACCAGCTTTCCTGGAGACCTCCCATGGCATTCTTCCAAGCAGACCCCTCAGACCCCTCAATAGTGAAATTTTGCTCTCCTGAGGCCCAGAGCTGTGATCCTGCTTTTGCCTTATTCCCTTTTTGCAGCATCCTGAACTCCACCATCTCATGATCACTGTAGCCAGGGCTGCACCCAACATTCACATCCCCGACTGGTTCTTCCTTGTTTATATCAGTACGAGGCCCAGCAGAACTCCCCTTATCAGCTCCTTGATTACCTGTATCACGAAGTTATCATCAATGCACTCTGGAAACCTCCTGTATTGCTCGTGCCCTCCTGTGTTGCCCTCCACAGATAGCAGGTGGTTAAGATCCCTCATAAGGACCAGGGCCTGAGAACATGAGACTTCTTCCAGCTGTCTGAAGAAGGTTTCATCTACTTCTTGTCCCTGATCAGGTAGCTTATAGCAGACAGACACCAACTACAATATTGGTAGCTGTGGGCTGACACTGGACTTCCCACTAATCCTGACCCAAAAACTCTCACTTGGCTCCTCTCCCAACCCAAGGCAGAGCTCTGTGCATTTTCACTGCTCTCTCATATAAAGGGCATTTATATAGTCATGAGGAAGATCATACACTGGTAGAGTAGAGCTTCTGCTGGGTGGAGAGGTTTGTGGTGCTTTATCTAGTTGAAGCTAATGATGGCATATGCTTCCTTTTGTGAAAACATCCACAACCTTTCCGCAGGTTTAAACATTTACATATCGCGGCATTGCCAGAGATGATGTTCAAGACTTAGGTTAAGCTATCAAGTGTTGCTTCCACATACCTTGCCTGCTTGATTCCACTCCCATCCTGGGTTCTGTAACAGCTTCAGGAAAGCATCAGGTCCAGATCCATCTTGCTGTAAAAGAATCCTGTTTACTACCAGTTCATTTATCTTTTTGCTATTACTAGAATGTTCTTGATGTGCCATCCCAAGACCCCTTTGCTGTGCCTCTTCAAGGGCAAAAACCTTAATTCCTCCAATGTACAATGGGACTGACAAGTTTTCAGCTTCCCTTGATGCTTTCATTCATTCCAACAAAAAGCCTTCATTAGAGTGGGGAAAATATATTGATTTCTTGTCCAGCTTGATACACTCCAGGTTCAAGAAACCACAGAGAAGACTTGACTATACTAATTTTATAAACATGAACAAGAGGGGGCTGTTTGTCAGTAGGTTTAGGTATCTTACATTTGGGTTTCTCTCATGCTAAGTTTGCTGTACCTTGAAATTGCTCTGCCTCTCTATTCATCTAGTTTTGACATTTAGTCACATAACATCTCTTTCCTCCATAGTTCAACAGCACAATGTAGAGAAACTGAAATTTTCTTTCTTTTTTCTTCCTTTCTCTTGCCTTTCATTTCCAGATCTCCTCGCCATCACTTTGCTTAATTATCCCTTGCTCTTAAATCTGCAAAAAATATCTTTTGTACTGCTCTTATTTTTTCTCTTATTCCTGAAACATTTCCTAATGTCTTTAATTTGATGTAAAATGTCTTGTCATTCCTTTCAGTGCAGAATGCCTTAAGTGTCATCTATTTCTGCTGTGCAGTTCTTTCTTTCTTCCTCTTCCTTTCATTTCCTTTACTACTTTCCTCTAGTTCTGTTTTTCTACTTACCACCACTATACTTCTAAATTCCTTTATTTCTGCCTTGCACAACTGTCCTTCCTTCCTTTAAATTGTTCTCTATTCTTTTAGAGATTGTTTTCCTACTATTAATCCTTTCTTTGCTATTGCATTCACACTGATTTTAAAGTGGCAAGAGCAAGCCATAGACATCTAGGAGGTTCTGCCTGCTCAAACACAGCACTCTTGTCCTCACCACTTCACTTCTAAGGCCTTTCATGCCACTCTGCATGTTTTTTGGTGTTTTGGTGGGTCTTTTTTTCTTCTTCTTTATGGCTTTATTAGCATAACGTTCCTAATCCTGCACTTCCTTTTTTTTTTACTTGTTCCCCTGTCACTCCTTGTGTTTTCTCCATTTGTCATTTGGGTCTTCTTTTCTTGTGCACTTCCTACTTGCTACCATGTATTTTGAATGGATGGCTACTTAGGTCTTCTTAGGTTTCCCTTTCATAAATTCTCTCCCTTTCTGTTTCACTTTTTTGCTTAGAGCAGGCAATGAGACTCTTCCTGTGTATTGGAAAGAACCAGTCCCAAAAGATCCTTGCCTTGCCCAGAAACAGGGATTGCAGCTAGACTCTGAAAGGATGACAGTGTCTCTGGTGGGTTCCCTATATGATGTGTCACATCATGATGTGACACCGTATCCTCCAGGCTCAGTCCTCACTGTCCCCAAATGACAGCAACAGATAGATAAGGATGGTCCCAAAGCACCCTCTCTTGCTAATATGCATGTGTGTTGCTCTGCTCATTCTGTCTAGTTTAAAGTGAAATCCTTCCTGTAACAAACTTAACACCTGATCAGGGTCACTGCAGCTTAGGAGATGGTATACCATATTTTTCCAAAAATTGAACAGTGGGCAGAACCAGTCTGGCTGATCAGTCTTCTGCTTTGGCTAAGAGATACAGTATACATATACTGTTATATCTGAGTGTATGGTTGCATATTCGGGGGTGTGTACAAGTTTTGATGGCATTTACTGTTTGTTTAATGGACCATAACCGCTCTGAAGAAGCCATTATAGTCAGTTATGGATATCTGAACTTAAGCACTTATTGAAAAGTGGATTTCTTGACATGATGTATAGAATCATTAACTTCTACAATATAAATCCTTTGTACTGTCCTTAGCAAACCACTGAATCAGTCATCTGCTCTGAGCCAGTCTCTGGGCTATGGATATATGTTGTCATAGGAACTGCTTTTAAAGTTGCAGAGGAGAAAAACTGCCATGAAGCATCAAATTCTAACTATCAATAATATAAGCATCATAACTCCTTTCCAGTTAGTTAAGGGTCTTAGGTTATTTTTTAACTGTCCCTTAAAAATAATTATAATAAAGCTTTTGAGTTGTTTGAGCTAATAAAATACATGAACAGTTAATTTTTACTGATTTAGCACTGATAAAGTTTGTAGCTCTTTTTCTAAATGGAGGGAGATCTTCTGGTTTGTTTTTTTATTTCTGGTTTATCTTGACTATGTTATATGATTTTGAAGTAGTATCTGTACAACCCCAACACCTAAGGATCTCCCAACACTTCAGTAAGTAGCACAGTTTAGCAGCGTGTAAAATTCCTTCTGATGGCTTCCAAGCTGCTTCTTCACAGTAATAGTACATAGCCTTCAGTAAAGCCTTCATCCTGCAGCTTTAATCTGCATGATTCTCCTAGACCATGGGCTTCAGGGACACTGAAGACTGTTGCTTTTTTTGATCTTCACACTTTCGATCAAAGGGGTACTTTTTACTGTAGCCTTTCTTATGACCAAAAGGATTTTAAAATAATTTTCTTTTCTCCGTGTATAAATGTTCAGGGGCCATTGATATGGGCACTAAAGTACATATCTTCTTTAAGTTACACAAGTTTTCTCATAAAACTGGAGTTTCAGGAACAAACTTAAAACCAAATTATTTCCTATACACCAGATCTGTCTGGGATACAGTTAACTTTTTTTCATAGCAGCCCATAGGTGCTGTGTTTTGGATCTGTGGCTAAAACTGTTGATAACACATCAGTGACCCCCCCACCAATGTATGGGGGGCCAACCCAGTACAGTCATGAGACTCAGACTATGGGAAAGTCCATCCATCTTAGAACTGAAAATCTCTTGCCACAGCATAATAAACAGTGTGTGACTTGAGTGCTCTTAATGCTGCATGTCGAATATTATATATCAGGAACCTGTGTTGTATAGCTTTTTCCTATTACAGATTACATGATCACTCCTAGATGTGTTTGCTGTGGAGAGCTGAATGATTTACTACTTAATATCAGCTTTTTCTCTCTTGTTTTTAGCCCCTTGTGAAGCCAACACATTCTTTTGCCACAGTAATATGTGTATTAATAATACATTGGTCTGCAATGGACTCCAGAATTGTGTGTATCCTTGGGATGAAAACCACTGCAAAGGTAATGTGTAGAATTGGAAATGTCAATTTATTTAGACTGCATTGGATACAGCATATTATCCTTAGTTTCTTTTTAAGAATGTGCCATATGAGTCAAAGCTCAGAAAGAGTAATACGGGGAGAACATACATCAAGCAATAGAGAAAATGAAGAGAGGTAAAATACCAATGGATACTTTCCGTGTTTGCATTTGTTTTGCTTGGTGTTGATTTGTGTTGGTTATGTCTTTCTGGCAGGCTTTCTGATCACTTAGTTTCTGTTTCCCGTACAATCTAAAATGTAATTAAAAGTCATATTTTGGTTCCTTTGCCATAGTTACCTTTGTAGTGGAGTAACATATGGGTAGCAGGTGTCTTTTAGCTGCATGCCATGCCCATAATGGCCCAGATGGGCTAGAAAGCCAAGGTGAGATGGAAGTAACACTGTAAGAAAGCAACCAAATATACCTATAATCAAGTGAAATAGAAGAGCGAGAAACAAGCACAGGAAATAAGGCATAATGTCTATTTCATAGGTAGGGACTGATGTTCCTAACCAGGTGCTGACAATGGTTTCTAAATACTGCTCTGTGTTTCTGGAAAAAAAAAAAATAATCAGCATCTGCGTTGTCTTCAGGGAAAAGAGTGTAACTAACTTACATTGCCGGCTAGGGAGACAGTTCAGTTCCCTCCCTCCCCCCCTCACTACCAGAGATTTGTTCCTGGAAACATGGGATGTGCCAAATTTAGGAACCAATCAAGAAAAAATTCAGAACGAGGTGGATTAGCAGTCAGTTCATAAATCTGCTGAAGCCTGTAAAATCCTGACAAGCAGTGCAATAGGGTAAAACACAAATGAAAACATGCTTCAAAAGAACACAGAAAAACTGTGGTATGGCATAACATTCTTCAAAGAAACTAAACATACAATTGGGAAATAATTATCTGTTCTCTACTTCTTCAGCACAGAGGAGAAGTGAAAACCTTCCCCACTCTTTAATTTCCAGAATGATTTTCATCTTTCATTTGCCAAGTATCTTTTTATTGGGTCTTGTGCATTTATCCTCTCTTGTTTTTCTGACTAGTAATAGGAAGTTTGCTGATTCCAGCAAAAAGGTTGCTTGCTGCTGTGTTGCTTTTTCTAACTCTGCTGCTTCCCCAGAGTCTGTGTCAGTCAGTTAGAGAAACCCCAGGTGAATCTACAAGAGTAGGCAATTGGGAGTACTGAAAAGTTCATTTTTGGTATCTAGGAGATTATGAAGAGATGGATGTTATTGTCTTGGTGCCAATAACTTTCATTTCAAAGGCTTTTCATTAAGTCTTTTGATATGTTTTACATTGCCAGGAAAAATTACACTAAACTGGGTGTTGAAACTTAATCACAGTTGTCAAGTCTTGCCATGCCTCTGAGAGACTGATGCGAATGCTTTCAGCTTGGATTTCTACAAGGCTCAGTCACCGTCTCATGTGTCTGCAGCCATTTCAAAGCAAATCACAGAGAAATATACACAACAGTAGGGTGAAACTGCTTTTCTTTTCGTTATTTTATTGCATGTTTTCTGTTTTTCTTCATTCACAATGCTGAATTTGCTGGCTAACTTCCTAGAAGCCCCTGAGTAAAGGATAGTAGGTAGGATCAGCTTTTGGATTTTTATGGGTGTTTAGAAAGGTTGTGGTAATTAATAGGTCAGGAACAAAAGAAATAACTAGCACAGATATTTTTTTTCCTTTCGGAAACCTCAGTTTGAATAACTTTTCTATTTTCTCCCGATTTAGCTTTTTCATTGAATATTGTCAACAGTCCCTGTCAGCTCACAAATATTAGGACTTCATCAAAGTTCCCAACGCAAAGAAGAATTTATTTTAAAATCCTGTGAAGTCTTGCTCTTTCATTGGTCCTAATGTCCTAGTTGCATATATTTACTGGAAGAGACAGAAAATAATGAAGAGAACATCTGTAACAGTCTTGGGGGCTTTAGCAGGCAAATGGAGTTCAGAGGTGACACTAAAGCCATCTGCTTGTTATAGTGGTTGCTTTTTATAAAAAATGTAAATAATTCTCTCATTTCATTAAGCTTGTAATATACCCTGAATAAATCACTTTCCAAGTGAATAGGCACACAGAGGACTTGTGTGGTGTTTATTTGGCTTTCACAAATACCTGTTTTCTTCCTTTTCTCTTTTTGTCAGTGAGATTGATTAAGTGAACTCAGACACAGACTAGGCTCAGCTTTGCAGTAATCTGTGAACCCATCATGGTTGGTTTTATTCTTGAACTGCAATTAATGTTGTGCTTTTTTTTTTCTCCTGTCACACAGAAAAAAGAAAAGCTAACCTATTGGACCAACTTACCAATACCAGTGGGACTATAATTGGGGTGACTTCTTGCATTGTGATCATCCTCATTGTTATCTCTGTTATAGTACAGATCAAGCAGCCTCGTAAAAAATTTGTCCAAAGGAAAACAGACTTTGATCAAACAGTGTTCCAGGAGGTGTTTGAGCCTCCTCATTATGAGTTATGCACCCTCAGAGGGACAGGGCCTACAGCTGACCTTGCTGATGTTGCAGATGACTTTGAAAATTATCATAAACTGCGGAGATCATCTTCAAAATGCATTCATGACCATCACTGTGGATCACAAGTGTCTAGCATTAAGGGCAGCCGTAGTAACCTCAGCACAAGAGATGCTTCTGTCTTGACAGAAATACAACCCCAGCCTGTAAAACCACTCATTCAGCCCATGAACAGGAGAAATATCCTTGTCATGAAGCATAGCTACTCACAAGATGCTGCAGATGCGTGCGAGATAGACGAAATTGAAGAGGTACCAACCACAAGTCACAGGCTGTCCAGACATGATAAAGCTGTTCAGCGGTCAGTATCAATAGATTTTTGATGAAGACTATTGTGTAAGGACTTGATTGCCCAAACATATTCACTCTTTATTCAGTAAAGACATATTTTCTTTCTTCTTTATTTATTGCTTAGATTTCTGTTTCCTGATAGCACATACCATTATATTCTCTCTCTCTCTTCCTGTTTCCCTTTCTCTCATCTCTGCTCCTGTTTCCTGAAGGATCCTGTATCTCCGTTTTACTTTTCTACTTTATATCTTTCTTTTTCTTTTACTGTTTTACACATAGCAACATGCATACACACACAAGTCAACAGAGAACAGGTACAATTTTTAAAAACCAAAGAAGATTTTGTGTGACTCTAGTTTTTGAAAGAGCCACATACATGTGGTTTCCATGTAACTGAGGTGGCCTTGAGTATCATCCACTGTTGGTCTAACATCTCTAAATCAACACATCAATAAATAAAAAGTACATGTATCCATTTTGATGCATGGCATAATAATGAGAAAGACAATCCTGGGGTAAGGAAACCCCTTTTCTCATGAAACATTATCTTTTGTATAATGAATGACAATATTTGCAAAACTTTACTGTATCTGTTCCATTATTAATCACAGTATCTTGGCTTGTCATATTAACATATATATATATATTGATTAGAACATGAGACAGCATAGTGGATAGAGAATACTCATATATTTACATATAAGAATGTAGTTAAAAGGAATCTTTCTAATCAATAAAAAAGAAAAGTCAAGCATGATATTTTTAATAAAAGAGCTATTTCTATTGTATATTGCACTTTGAATGACTGTAAATAGGAATGATTAAAAGTTTACAAGTAAAAGAAAAAGAAAAGCAGAAACATTTATGACCAATTTATTTGAAAAAGAACACAGAAACTTTTAATATATATTTGTGTTTTCTCTTGCATGCATTATTTATGCACTCTTGTGACTGTTTACATGCCCTCCATATTTTCTTTGCACATTAAGGCATTTCTGTCTCTTAAAAAGAATAAGTTATTTGATTATTTTAATCTAATTGCATGCCAATGTAAATTACTTCATGAATATTGATCATATATTCAAGATGTACTGTTTATTAAGTATCTATATGCATATATTTCTTTTTTTCTATGCAAACATTATTATTTTGAATGAAATAGCCATAACATTCCAGGTTCTGCCTCATTGGGTCTCTAAGCAAACATGAGTCTGAGTACAACACAACTAGGGTCTAAGGGACAAACTTGAGGTAAGTAAACATATCTATACGACAATTGAACCATCTGTTGCTTTCCATTTTATTTGTTATACTGCTAAAATGCATGTTAGTTCTCAAGTTGTATGTCACCTTGTATGGAGAGAGCCAGGTATGAATACTGAGAAAACTGAAAGACAGATGACCACGTTAGTATTGTAAACTAAGCAAAAGCTATTAATTCCTTATTCTCAACAGCACTATAATCATTCCCTAGCTAAATATAATCTTCATTCCAAACACATTATAAAGACAGATGCTTTGCATGGCTCTGGTGTTTCATTTATTTTTTTATTTACGAAAATAAAATTTAGAGTCCCAGCATGTGAAATAGTATGTAAAACTTGGCGATCTAACCGAAGCCAGGAAAATGTGGAACTATCTGTTTTCAGTTCATTTTATTCATTCAACTTTGTGAAGTGTCGGGGGAAGGGTATGTAGTAGTACTGATAAATTTAGAGATTCTGTAGTACTAATGTTAATGTTTGCAAATTAAACTTCCTTTTTTGAGTCTTTTCCTAGGCTTTTCATTCTGTATAATTTGTTATCAACACTTAATCTCAATAAACATAATCTCAGATGTTTATAATGTAGTTATAGATAGTTGCTAGTCTGTCAATTTATATATGTATATGTGTGTGTATATATATATATAAACATAGATGTGTATATACATGTTTATATGTGTATATATGTATACAGCAATTTTACTGGGAAAGAATCCATCAATGCTTTTATTGCTCCTAGATAGTTTAGGTCAATATTTTTCTGTATTTTTCCTCATAGAAAGAGCATATTTTAACTTTGGTTTACTTTCAGACAACTATTCATGCAATCATGCAAACTCTGAATGGAAAAATCTATAGTGAATTATTTCAGCTGTCTGAAAGAGAGAGTGGACATGTTTCCAATTTCATTTCATTGCCTTTATCCAAACCTAAGAAGTACAGACATATCTTACTTCCTTAGCAAGACATTCTCATTGCACAATAATGTTTCTTTTGTAATTTGGTTGCCGGCCACCAAGTGCTCCTTAGTTTTTAAATACATTTGGAGATTTGCTGCAAACTTGAAGAAGAAATTAGTTCCTAACTGAGATCGTCCTTTTTTTGTTTTTGTTTTTGTTTTTTTTTTAATCTTAGTTTTATTTCAGTTGATATGTTTTATGTCTGTTATTTACTTGTATGTTGTGTGATATGTGGAAGAAGATTTACATTGAACTTTTGTTATATGTACGTTGTTTTCATTATATAGACTGCTTGAGAATAGTGCGCTCCTGGGTGATTTTGAACATGCTACAATGAAATGTGAAACTATCGTCCTTGGAAACACCAGCTAGAGGTTTTATGGACTCTGACCAGCTATTCTCATATCATGACAAAATTCAGCAAACAGTGTTGAGTAAAATTACTAGAAGGCAATAAGACTTTGGTTATTATGCTTATCGGTCATTTCTCTTTTTCTTTTTCTCTCTTCTTTTGTTGCAAGTTAAATTCCCAATTTCAGGAACAATTTATTGAAATCAGGTATTTAGCCATTCATAATCACTTCAATAGAAATGTTTGTTGGATAAGCATCTAGCAATATGACTGAATTTGACATTAAGAAAATAATCTGCATGTATGTTACTGAATATTTGAGTTGGCAAAAATCCCTTTCTTAGATACATTGTAAAAAGCATGCTTTCACAATTATTGCTGTTACTGTTCCATTTCTGTGTCATATGCTTGCTACTTGTAACTTTTTATATAAAGATACATAAAACAATGTATAATAATTTCTTACCTTGAGTTTAATGGCAATGTTTTCTTTTACTAAATTTATAAATCTTGTGTAATTCAGAAGATCAAGCTCAAAATGTAGCTTCTAGGAACTTGAAACCCAGATACATCAGAGAATCAGCTCTCTCTCATCCCTCACTTACTGAAAAGCAAAATACATTATTTTTTAAAAATGTAAATGAATTTGTAATACATAAAAAGTTGATCACGTAATTTCAGTTTAAAAGGTTTATGATAACCTTTGTGTTCAATTCTCTACTTTTAACTAATTTATTTCCATGGCAATAATTAGGAAGTTTGCTTCAGTGTAGCAGAGTAGCAGATTTTTATCAGTTATACAAATGTTATGGCTGGGCTCCAATTTTAGAGATACAGATATAAACCGCTTCCTTATGCAAGATAAAATGATATTGATAATGCAAGTTATAAACACTAGTAACCAACACCTAGGTCAAACTTGAGAGGGTAAGTTATTAAGGAATTATTGTAGGTTGAAAAGCCACAATTATGTAAAGTTGAAACCTCCCTCATTTAAGAACTCAATAATCATGCAGAAAATCACAGTTTCATTACCTATTTAAAGTCTTATCTTCCAAATTCTGTTTCAAAACAAATCCCAGTTCCTTCTTAAACATAGTGTCATTCATGATTGTTAGGTTTTTCTGTATAAAAATTCTGCTGAAAAAGTGGGAAGAATTCCATGGATCTTCCCAAAGTATAAATAAATGGGAAAAGAGAAAACCTGAAAGACAGACATAAAAAATAAGGTGATCTATATCAGCTATTTAAATATATAGTACATAATTTACATAATTAAAAATACAGGAAATCTGGTTTCTACAAAACAATTTCTACAAATGTGATTTAGGAATGACATGAGGAGAAGAAGGGTTTCAGGTATTTGCCTCCTTTTTTGTACACTGTATTTGCAATGTATTTTACATAATTTGATTTTAGCTTGATTAATTTGTTTGTTATCACATACTAGCTGCAAGAACCAGTCCTCCATCCTCTGCAGTCATTGAGCGTCATTGAGTTGTCTTTCAGTTACATGGATTTTTAGCATGCACTAATAGTTCATTTCCAGATCAGTATCTCCTTCCTAAGTTCATATACTTTATCACTGTTTTTCTTCCTTAATCTTTCCAGGTCCTATCTTGTGATCCTTCCTTAAGTATATTATGTTATTTACCACATCCATGCTTAAAATGGATGCATCCATGCATCCATTATAAAATCAAGGAAGAATGAAAGACTTGCTAAAAGAAATGCATATACATGCACACACATTTATGTATATTTATAAACATTTACTAATGGAGGTAGTATATTAATAAATATATAAGGAGAAATCTGAATATGTGAATTTAGCTTTGAATTAATTATATTGGTCACCTAGAAAAATGCTGAAGCCTTGGATTTTAAAGTTGCTATGTAAGTGCCTAAATCCCACTGAAACATAGAGTTGGTCTAGTCCCTCCTAGACAAGGACACAATGAAATCTATTTTATGTTTTTTCCAGTGAAGCGTTGACTGAGAGAACTTAACTGGAGAAGACATGGGTATTAGTAATTATGTTGCATGCACATCCTTGCTTTCTTAAAAATACCCTAACGGCATTAGGTAACATAAGTGAGAAACATGAAAACCTGTGTAAATAAAGCAGGTCAAACAAAGTGAAAATGGTAATGCTTACTTGGTCTTGGAAACTCCTTTAGAAACATGTTGTCTAACAGCTAGGTATACCCTTAAACAAAAACACCATTGTAAGTGACAAAATATGTGTATACTGGGGGAACAGGGTCGAATTATAAAATTAAAAAATAAACAACAATAAATTCAAACCCAATTAAAATATTATAATTGAAATATTTAAGTAATTATATTCTGTATATAGTCAATGTAAATAATAGCCTAGTCCACTATACTGCAAACAGTAAAGATTAACTTTTGTTTGGTATCACAAAATAGTAGGATATCATAATGTGATCTATAAAACTCAAAATATTAAAATAAAAGGGGTTGTTGCTGAAAATAAACAGTTTGCCTTTCCTATGAGTATTTTTTATTATTATGAAGCCACTTTTTTAGAAACAGAAAGCAATTCAAGCAAGCTAGTTCAAACAGACAGTCTAGTTTAAGCAACTTCAAGTTCACACAAGTTTAATTAGCTATAAAGAGAATACTCAAAACTGGTATTTGACCACATATTATAAGTGAAATTTAACCTATTCTATTACACTTTTTCCATTTTATGGAAAAAAGGTTTGGCTTGTTAAATTAACACAGCTACATGTATTCTGTGTAACAACTTAGTAAATTACCACGGATTAGCTCAGCTGGTAGTGTTACCTTCATGCATTTTACCTCATGTTTGCCTTAAGCTAAAACTATGAATGGTAGTTATTAGACCATTTTTTGGTTTGACTGTTGCAATGTGTGTGATGTATAGCCATGTTGGCAGTATGCTTATTTCTTACATGTTTTTTAAAGATGAGTTTTTGTTATCACAGTGCATTGCCATATTGTTCATAGTTTTGCTTTTTTTTTTCCTTTTTCCCATTGCTGTAGTGTTATGTATATACTTTTCTTTTTAGATGATAGTGTGAACAACCACTCCCAATAATTTTTCTCTGCTCCAGGAAATACAGCCTTTTGTTTGTGAAGTCTTCTCTGCAACATCATTTAAAAATCTCAGGAAGTCCATTTCGTAAACCATCCCAGTGTAAACCTCTTATATCTTCCCAATTCTAAGAACAGCTCAAAAGGGGAAAAAAAAAACGCTCTGAGAAATGTTAGTACCTTATCCTTATATTTTTCTCTATTTTTATGCTGGGGATACTCTCTTGAACCTAGCAGTGATGTAGCCAATGGGAGGGAATAAGATAAAGTAGAAAGGTTTCCTGCTCAAAAGAAATAGCTAGCACCAAAAAAAAAAAAAAAAAAGCAGACAAAGAAAAGAAACAGAGAAAGTTATGCTAATTAAGAGAAGAGTATGAAGGACTGTTGCTCATACCCATTCACAAATTTACAGACACGTTTAGGACAGATAAATTCCTTAGGCAGCAAATAAAAAGGTACTGTCCATGTCAAACTCCAAAACACAGCTGTAATAACTATGCTTTAGAGAACACTGTCCTGCAAAGAAGTTGGCCTTTTGAGTTTTCTTGTCTTCCACTTTATGTGCAATCTCCCTGCTACCACAAAGATATTCCAGCTGAGGGAGCACAGCTGAAGAGCTAAATGATACAAAGGATGAAAACCACAGCATTCAAAACACTTTTTAACACACAAGTCCGTATCTGATCTGGAAGTCTCTTATCTCCTCACTCCTGACTCAACATTTGATGTGAAGTTGTGGACTCATGGCTCCACTGCTTTTCCTCATCATCACCTTAGCATCACCTCTCTTTACTCTTTGATGATCATTTTACATCGCTGCTGCCTTTCATTTCTGTCCACAGTGAGCTTAGTTCTGTTCCCTTCTCTCCTCCAAAATCACCAAAAATGCTGAAATGCTATCTATCAGCTCACTGACCTTGTGTTACCCTTGCACCCACCTGGCTCTTTCCCATCTATCACTTCAGAGCCATCTTAACCTTACCTTGCCTATAAACAGCAAAATGAAAACATGTGATTGCAGCATATGTTAATTATCTTTAATTTATGCAGCACAAGAAAAGCTATGAAGATGCATTGGAATGGACTGCAGTATGGGCTTATTAGGGATACAGGATTTGTATTGTAATGACTGTGCATCAGTGTTGTCTGGGCCATCTACCTCTGGGTTGGCATGCCTGCTCCTGCTATATTCATACCTTAATGTGGCACAAAGAGAAACTCGTCTCCACCCCTTTTCTTCTCCCAGTGATACCTGCACCACTGTCAAACCAAGTTTTGTTTCAAGCACTTCTATGTTTTCTCCTGTGCTGTATTTGTATCAGTATGTCCCTCCACACAACATAAATCCCTGTCCTAGCCTCCTTCACGTGCCTATTAAAACACATTTGAGCTGCATAGCCTGGCAAAAACGTGCCAGTGGTGTGTCAGAGCTATCATCAGCAAGGTAAGAACATCAGCTACCATCAGGAGAAGCAGGAGCTGCTGCTTCCTTCCGTTTTCTTTCCCAGGAAAAGGAGTCGTGCTGATCCGCAATCTCCCAACAAGGTCACTATGGGGAAAAAAGGGAAGCTGCCATCCCCTTCAAGCAACAAACCGTAACTAGGAGTAGAGAGACAATCTAAGCAGCCCATGATAAAAAATGGAAAGAAGGAGATGCTCAGATTTCATTACCAAAGTAACAGGCCTGACCAACACTGTGCAGCAGCATTGCACCTCTTCATTCTCAGATAAGGGAAGACTGAAGTGCAAACCTTCTTTTTCCCAGGGAGAAGGATACCACAACTGTGAGTACCGATTCTGTTCAGGGCTCTGGAAGGACTTAGCAGCTGCTTGTGTGAATGTGGGCAGACAAGGACTTACTGGGCCTATAGGGGCGATCTTGTGCTGCTACATGCAGCGGACAGCTCTGCAATATCTAGTTACTTAGACCTTTTAAGTTTGCCATTCTTCGGTCTGTCCTCCTCAGCTCCATTGAGAGACATAGTAAACGCACTCAACTACTTCTAAAATGGTGGCTTCATTGGAAAGACGTTACTTGACATTTAATTGAATTAGATGTGAAAAGCATCCATGGCACTTGCTGCAGTTATTGTAAAAAAAAAAAAAAAATAAAAAAATGGGGTTTTTTGCACAGACCCTAGATACATATATCTGGTTAAATGAACCATTCAGCTGCATCAACTGCATCAGTAAATGAAGACACCTCCCACCTGAGGTTTTGCTAATAAAACTGCAGGGCCTGATTCATGCTCTGTTCACATCATCCCTCTAGATCCTGTTTTTTTTTGAGTATAGGGAAAATTTTAATTAGGAAAAATCAGTTTGTTGAAAGTGAATGGCTTTCACCATCTTTAGTGAAGCACAGATTACAGTT